TCCAGCTCTTCGGCCTCCTTCCATCGGCCTTGATTCCGGTACGTCGACGCCAGGTTGGCCATGCTGGTCAGCGTGTCTGGATGCTCTGTGCCGAGCAACCCCGTTTCTATTTCGAGCACCTGGGAATACGCAATCTCTGCCTCACTCCATCGTCCGTCGGCGTCAAGACACGTTCCATATCTCCATTGGAGATCTATCCTCCTCTTCGAATCCTTCCGGACGAAGTCAGACTGCAGCACAACGCGCACGTGCGGCAGGTACGCCCTCCATATGCTACGGTTCGTGTAGGTATTATCCGGAAAAATCTCCTCTAGTCGCACAATTGCCTTTTCGGTCCACTGGGCCAGTTGATCGTTCTCTTGGAGCCAATTACGAGCAGCTACATGTACTAAACGATGAAGATCGACCGTAAGTCTGGCCGGATGTTTGCTAAGAAATGAATACGCATGAAGCGTCCCGATAGCGTCTGTCTCCTTCTTGCGAGATGGACCAGGTGGAAAAAGACACTGTGGGATCTCTTTTGGTTCAACACATGCTGTTAGCGATAAGTAGTCTGCCGCCAGGGAGTCGTGCTGCCGAATTCGCTCGAACGATATTAGCCATGTTATGGCCACTGGGTTCTTGATATTATCGTATCTGCCGTTATCCTCAAAGTCTTCGCTTAGAAGTTCAATTATAGACTCGTCCTGCTCATCGAGTAAGGAAAGATAGTCCGCGATCGAGATGCCGTTCGCATTAATATACGCTGCCGCCTGAACGATGGCGAGCGGAAGGTAAGTCAGCTGCGTAAGCAAGTTTTCGGTTGCGGTTTGGTAGGGCGCTATATCGAGTCCGTTCAGGCATTTCTGCAGGAGCTCCGAAGCCGCCTCTAGGTTCATCTCCTGCACTTCTACCAAGTTCTGAGGCGCTAGCTTAGTAGCGAGCTTCCTATCTCGCGTCGTAAAGAGGATACTTCCCTTATTGCTCCTTGGAAGGCAGTCGAGGAGACGGATAGATTGCCTAGCGGTTGATTTTCCCATCCACATATCCATGTCGTCGGCGTTGTCAAACACCATGAGCCATTGGCCCGCGCCTTCGCTACTGAGGTATTTCTGAACCAGTCGCCTCACATCTACTCCTTGCTCATCTCTTCCGGGTATATCTAACTCTTCGGCTACTGCCGAGTACGCCTGAAGAAGGGTTTCAGGATCGGTCGCAGGAATCCAAAATACTGAGCGGTCCCTCTGTTTCTCCGTGATCCGATAGGCTATCTCAATCGCTAACTGCGTCTTCCCCACCCCCCCAAGTCCAGTGATTGCGACCTTCGTGGTTTGGCCATGTCGGAAGAGTAGCTTCTCAATTCGAGAAAGCTCGGATTCGCGACCGGTGAAGCGAGGATTGCGGTCGAAAGAGATAGTACGTGCCAACTTTCGCGCTATAAAATGGAGCACATTAGCAAAGAGATACGCACATTCGAAATCAAAGGTCCTACATGGACGCGAGCTGTTGTGCTCGGAGTCCTCGATCTCTCGTCGCAGCCTTCTTATTGCATGCTCTCGCCCTTCGCCATAAATAGGCGGTAAGAAGACTTGAAAAATCCCAAGAAGGCAGTATGCCATATCCTCCTCTTTAGTCGTTTGTCGCTTCTTAACCCATTGAAACCTCTCCTCGATGCTAAAATCACAAAGCGAACGGCCTTGGAGTGCCTCGATAGCGACTTCAGTTCTATCGTAGATGCTTCGTTCGAGTGACTTCTTATCACCTAGTCGGACGTGGTCTCGGGAATAGAATTCGACGGTTTTCGGCGCGACAAGCTCTTGGAGCGTCCATCCTCGTGTGAACCATCGACTATTACGAAAGGATGATTCCCATTCGATATGAGACACTAGACCGTCCGGCGTGCGTACCGAAACATCGGATAGATAGACGTAACATCGTGCGGCATTCTGGTACCAGAGAAACATAGAGTTGATCGTCTCTGCCAGCTCGGTACTATTCGATTTGTCAATACAGCAGGTGTCCACCCAGAAATAGGATAGACCGTCAGCTTTCGCTTGACCTCCGCAGAATACCAGCTTCTGGTATCCAACCTTCTGCTTTCCGGCACTATCCGTGACGTCCTTGAATGTGACTTCATCGCTGTCGCTTCCCCACGTATGAGAAAGTATGGCATAAGGAGGGATCGTGGTTTGGAATGTTTCCAGGCTGAACTCGCCGTTGCCGTCGAGCTTTAAGAGGCGCATCGTTGGTCGCAGGAATCGACAGATCGCCGTTATCGAGAAATCGTGACGCCTGGTCTGGGAAATTCGAACCACATAGTAGCTGGCACATCAAGACAGACGACGATGAACAATGTGATCAGGCACAAGGCTGCGGAGGTTTCGATTATACAAGGCTGAGCGACACCGAGTTGTGGCTTATCGAGCCTGACGGTCTGCAACGCCTCTCTTCCATCCTCTCTGGTGCATGTCTTCGTCAACCATAGTTGGCACATTATGTCGATAAGTCGAGGATGCACACGGCTAACATCTGTTTAAGATCGTCTCAGACGGAGAGTCATCGAGAAACTCGGACATGTGGCTGGTCGTTCAAATTCATACATTACGCTGACTCTCAAGTTTTGGGTCTGGTGCTTGCCTTCACAGTTCACGCTGGTTTCCTTCACACAGGGACACTTAGTGACACCCAAGAGCGTTAGTCTGCCAAGGCCATCATTAGGGAGACATGTTAGGTCATTGTAATTTACAATGTACTAGTTATTATATAATAGCCCCATGACTGTATGGGTCGCCGAAAGAGGAAGTGCGATCGCCTGCTAGTACCGACCTGCATGGTCGAAATATCTAAGATCGCTTCCAACACAACGCATGCTCTGGATAAAGGACTTCTAGCATTACAACGGGATTATATGATTTAGGATCATTCGTTTATGGCTTTTTGAAAAGAAACTACGATGATGGTGGCGTTGTAGCATAGGCATAGTATCTCAGCGTCGAAGATGCATTCCGAGTGCTGCCCCGAAATTGGCCGACCGGTGACCACGCAATCGTAATTTTTATGGTTTACGCCGTCTCATATGTTTAAGATGGGCCGGGAAACAGATTTTATAAGGATTTATAAGAAGTACAATATCCATAGAGCCTCTGAGTGGGGTTGAAGGCAAAGTACCTCGAATTCGTTCCAGCACAGCGGGCGTTCCATCACGCAGGGGGGGAGGTTAGCCCCTTTGAAAAGGAGCGCACACTATGATGATTCAGCGGAAGGATCTGTTAGCTGTTCTCCCAGGGCTGTAGAAAAGCCGCCCCTTCTCGGTTCGGGTTCTCTTCATCTTCATTAAGAAGAATATTGGATTTCCAGGCCAACGGACCTCGCAATTTGGTCGCGATTCCGTAGGTCGATGCTCGCACCTAGTGTCACTAGGAGTTCCTTGATCCGCCCCTCCCAGAGGAGACCAATCCTCCAGTTCTGGTCAATGCGAGCTTTGAGGACCCCCTCCACATCGTCCTCCTTATCCCGCAGGGTTGGGACTGGTTTGCTGAGGACGTCTTCTGCCAACCGGTCAGATGCTGACTCCATCGGGCGCGCACGCCTTCTCCAGACCTCCCAGCCAACCACAAAATCGCTCTCGTAGCTGTAGAAATTGAAATCAAACCGACTGCACATGGACAGATTTCTCCCGGCTTTAACTGAATAGGTAGAGCTGAGGTTCCCCATGAGAGGGTTCAAAGTCAGCGTCATGGTGTAAGGAAACCCCGCATGTGCGGGCAGAGTGGTGAAGCGGAGCCCAGTGGAGCAGCCTCCGGAAGCGTTCAGAAGTCCATAATAGAGCTCTCCGCCTACCGAGAATCGACTGAGAAGATTGGGAGGGAATGTCGAGGATCGTGGATCGGGGCCGAAATTGTACAGGCCCCGGACCCCGAGCAGGGCGCTATCGGTGCTGAAGAGGTATTCGGTCGAGGACTTGGCCCGATCGTCTTGCAGGAGGGCCAATATGGTTCCTCCGTTCTGCAGTCGCTCGTCGCTGACGCAGGAAAGATGCACTTGACGCGTCGGTGAAATCCGGCGGAGATATAGCGCTTCGAGTCTCGACGCGGGAACGTAGAGTCGGCCATACAATAGGGTCGCTTCCTTCACCATCAGAAGCGCGTATAAGTGTTGTCCATAGCGAAATACGCACCTAGTCGGTCGACCCGTTTTCCTCGATGCCAGGTCTCCCACCACCAAGGGTTATCGGGACGGCGCAGCTCTAACACATGACGATAGCCACGGATCAGCTCCGTGAGATCGATGTGTTTGCTTCTCGACGCGACCTGCAAGGGCAAGGACGAGTAGAGGTACGAAAGTGAGCCATCGACGACGCCGCTCGTGCCGAAGGTGTAGGAGTTCGCGAAGTTGGGGGACGAAAGAGACGAGACGCTGAACCGCAACCCTCGCGGGATGTCAAAATCTAAGATGTCTTCCCAGGATCCGTCAGCACGTGTACTTTTGAATAGACGTCCCGAGAAACCAAACCTCGTGCTGAGGCCGTCAGCGAACTGTATGAGTTGTCACTGTTCCATTGTGAGGCCAGATGGAAGGCATGTTGAATGTAGTCCATGAAGCCCAGCATTCTTAGATGCTGGTCGCGAGGCTATTCTGCACATGATGGTGTGGTGCGGCCTAGAATAAACCTTGACCCTGAGATGCCATATCAATTTTTGACTAAATACTCTGTAATATGCAGGATTGATGTGGTGTATTCTGAATTGCGAACAGGATATCTCAAACAGTCGTCAATGTCGTGAAGCTTGCGCGAGACGTTGGTGATAATTATGAGTGCCTGAGGCTTTGAGGCTCCAATTGAAGTCACATAGACCACGTGACTATGCCTCGCGATTTCTTGCCAGTCAAACGGAGATCAATTTGTGATTGGAGGGTTGGGTTGATACGGTGGACGACAGACACCTATACCGCAGACCCTGGTCGCGCGTAAAATTTCCGTTCCGCGATATGAAATTTCGAATCATGCCCGCTGTACGCATTTCAAGTTTCCACGCCCACCACCGATACCTGCCAATTTCACCCCGTTCCCTCCACATAATTTCTCTTGTTCCGCTGTCGCATTGATCGCAAAATGCCGAAGTCAAAGAGAGCAAGGGTTGTCCACCTGTCCAAGGTGGAAAAGAAGACGAAGGAGGATCTCCAACTCCTCCAGACCAATGTGGAAGAGGCCGCCGAGAAGTACCCGTACGGATATGTGGTGTTTGTGGACAACATGCGGAACAACCATCTCAAAGGCGTGCGGACGAGCTTAGCAGCGGATAGCAGGTACGCCGCTGTCTCCTCGGCATTGCCCAGGGACCTCCGACCCGAAGAATCAAGCTAATTGCTCGCTCCTAGGATATTCTTTGGACGGAACCGAATCATGGCGAGAGCGATGGGCACGACGCCAGCGACCGAGCCGCAGCCCGGATTGCACACCCTGTCCGAGCATCTAGATGGACCGACCGGTCTGATCTTCTCGTCCCGGAAGCCCGACGACCTCCTCGAAGACCTGAAGTCCATGACCAGCGGGGCATACGGTCGTGCGGGCACCGTCGCGTCCCGGAAATACGTCGTCCCTGCGGGCATCGTGTATACACGAGGGGGAGAGATCCCGGCGAAGGATGATGTAAAGGTCACGGCTATGCAAGAGGTGCATTTGCGGGCGCAGGGACTACCCACACGGTTAGAGAAGGGAGATGTCCTCCTCGATGAGGACTACACAGTGTGCAAAAAGGGTGAGGTTCTCACAGGGCACCAAAGCGCGATATTGAAATTCTTCGGTGTCGAAGTGGCGGAGTTCCAGGTGAGAGTGAAGGCGTAAGTTTCTGATCGCTCAACTTTATTGCCAGCTCTAACACGAACCAGGTATTGGAGTGCAGAGGCACAGACAACGACGGTATTGGATGACAGTGCGGAGAAGGGAGATGAGGACACCGACATGGACGCGTAGAGCGAGGACTGAGGAGGATTGCTGAGCCTGCTTTGTCGGTTTCTTGAATCACGGCGTCAATACGGAAAATTATACGGGGTAAATTCCCAGGCGGCGTTTTAGGTCAAGCAGGTGGGAGCAATTGTGATGTAATTTACGCGGTATACGCCAATGAATATATCAAACTTGAAGATTACGACAGTGCTGGCTGATTCATTGGAAGACACATCCAAAGCAACCGGAATGCATGGTTGTCGCAGCCTAATCCTCCTCCATCTTGTCCTTGTCTTCCTGCATTTTTTCAACATATGCAGCAGCCCGCTTCTTGACATCCTCAAGCCCTTGTTCGCTTCCAAACGATTCTTCCCAATCAAACCATTGCTTAAAGAAAGACTTTGCCCTCTTCTTCTTCATCTTCCTCTCGCTCATGCGCCCATACAATGCTCGCACATGCTCGGACTCTTTCTTGCTCTTCTCCAACGACATCCAGACATCCCAAATATCCCATTTCTTAGGCCACGTGTCGACCAGCCCCTCGAACACAGTACGTCCTCGCTCCGCGTTGCCATTGCGCGACTGGAACTCGAGAGCAGCGAACTTCATGGTAAGTTGCCGGTGCAAGTCGCTCGGAACCGACTGGGTGGCCCGTTGAAGGAGCGCTCGGGCTCGATCGGGCTGGTTCAGCGTGGACATGACGAACGTGGCGTAGTTGATCCAGAAGGTTGGGTCGGGGGAGATGGACTTGTTCTTCACCATGGAAGCAAAGAGATCTTCGGCTCTCTGTAACCAGTGTTAGCAAACGCACTCGGAAAACTCACAGATCGGTCGACTTACATCGTGCTTGCCGGACTCAATGTAGATACTTGCTAGTCTTTCGTGCATCTCTTTCGTGTCGTTATACTGGCAGGCTCGCTGGAACGTTTCCTGCATGGATTCGTCGCTTCCAAAGGCATTTTCGAGGTTCAGCATGGCGACCCAGACATTCAACTTCTCGTCGTCTTCTCGGATGTTGATCGTGCGCAGGGCTCGTTCCGCAATGTTCCTCGCCTTGTCCACCTCGCCCAACTGGAGTTGGAACGCCATGTACTGAATCCACAGGCTCGAGGAGTTGGGCTGACCCAAAAGCTGTCGTTCGTAGTCTGCGACTGAACGTGGCCCGTACTTGTCCAAGTCTCCGGTCATGTCGACTTTGATCTCCGGCTTCCTTCGCTTCTTCTTCTTGGTCGAAAGCTCCCCATCGCTGTCATCATTGGTGCCATTGATCTTTTCCGCAAGAGAGAGCCCCGTCCAATCGAACGAAGCCACCTTCAGGCGATCCAAAACCGTGGAGGTTTGCTCACTAGCACCATTCGACTCGGTATTGCCCATGTGAACGTCAACCGAATCGGTTCTGGTAGCATCTTCCCGGTCTTGGCCGGCCACTGGATGTCCTTCCTGGACAATTTCGACCCCACCTGTTTCTTCGTCGTCCATGTCATCTTCTGCCTCGGATAGAACATCCTCATCCTCAGAGGCGAAATGTGAAGCCTTGAGGCTGAAGTTGACCCTACGCTTTTCCAAGTCGACCTTGACAACCTTTGCCTTCACAATATCACCTTCTTGGTAGAGACTCTTCACGTCTTTGACGGGATCGTCCGCGATCTCGCTGCGGTGACAGAGACCACTAACGTTCTTCGAATTGTCCACCAAGATGAAAACACCGTAATCTTCCACTTTCCTGACCTTTCCGGTCACGACTTGGCCCCGTTTAATGTCATCGAGACCCAGAGGACGGACATAGTCGGGGTTCAGAACAGATTCTTTGAGGCTCAGTTGCAACTGGTTCGTGTCGGTGTCGACGTGGATAACCTTTCCTTCCACCAATTGATCGACTTCGAACTTTGACTTCCAGTCCTTTAGATAAGCATCTGAGAGCTCCGAGACTCTCACGAACGCCGTGACCTTGGGGCTGAGCGAGACAAAGACGCCTTGGGCCGACACGTTCTTGACAAAACCCCGACGAACGTCGTTCATTTTGATTTGCGAAATGTCCGCGATCGGCGGGTCTCGCACAGGAAGGCCCGAGCTAAGGACGTGAGATGGTCGTAGGGAGAGCATGACTTGTTTATTGGGAAGGTCGACATTCAGCACGCATGCTCGGACGATATCATTGTTGTTATACGCCGAGGTCTTCGCGAGGGAGAAATCGTCCGAAAGCTCCGTCAAGGGCACCTGGCCGGAGATGGTGCTAGAAAGTTGGATCATGAGGTAGCGCTCGGTAACCTTCGTAACACGACCTGGGATGACCATGTTGTGGGAGAGATCGCGGAGGGTGAGGGGTTCACTGGAGTCGGTCGATGTCGCCGAAAGATCAAGTCTGTTCGATTCGACATCGATGGATTTGACGCGAACACGCACCGCGGAGCCGATCGGGAAATTGTGTTGCACATCCGAGAGTAGTGATAGGTCATCCGAGAGATCCATGAGATCGACGCGTCCTCGGACTGAAGGCGAGAGGTTGACCCAAACGCATCTAGCATCGATGTTGTTGACGAATGCTGTGTACGTTTTGCCAGTCGAAAGTTGGTCCATGGATAGAATCTGACCGCCTTGGAGGGTCTTCGGCTTTGCAGTGAGTTCGAACACTGGAACTTTACCCCCCCGATGAGAGATGGGCAAGAACTTGTGGCTTCTCGCATCGTGAATGCCGATGATTTGGACAGATAGTATCTGGCCTTTATGGAAGCTTTTCAAAGGATACTTCCGGTCTTTGATGTCTTCCCAGTTGTCAAACACTTCGGAGACATCAATTCGACCTTGAACGTTGTCTGCTAGAAGAACGTTCAGCTGCGTATCCTTCGCAGCCGTGATTCGAGCCTTCGTCGTGACTCCAACGGCATAATCAGTGGACAGCTTGGATACCCCGTCGACAGCATTGGTGACGGGTTGTCCAATTGATTTCTGGTCAGTACCATTGCTTTCTGTGGAGCGCTCCGGCTGAGGGCCACTCTTCTTCGACAAAAAGAACCTGTTGGTGGCAGGATCGACTGTGAGGACTTTTGCAGACACCGACTGGCCCTTGGTCATCCCAAAGTCTGGAAGTTTCAATGCCTTCTCGTCAAGCTGGGATTTATGCAGGAACCCAACTATCGCTCCAGCAAACTGAACGAAGACCCCGTCAGCACTGACGCCTCGTACGAAGCCACGCACGGTCTTCCCCTCCTTTACATCTTCGAATGCTTTGATGAGACTACCTGCGCGTGTTTCCGCGACCAATGAAGGTTTCGCTGATACATAGAGCAAATTTCGTTTCTCGACCTTCTCGAGCACAACCAGGTTATCGAGGGTCTGTCCAGGTCGGAGTCGTTTCAAATCCGCTGCGCATTTCTTTTCGGAACCATCGGTGAGTTGAATGAGGTGGAGGGTTGCCTTGATACCAGCATCCCCTATCCGGAACGTCACGACGTCGGATGACTTGTCGGTGACGGCGCCCTTGACCAGGTCGCCCACATGGATGGAAGCGAAAGCTTCCTTCTGGGCTTCACCAAATGCAGCGGGATCTCGGCAGGAAACCACCATTTTGTTCGAGTCGGGGTCAACGCTCAGAACATGGACGTTGACCACTTGACCCGTCCGGAAGTGTTGAGCAGGATCTTTGATGTACGCCTCACTCATCTCAGATACTGGAAGGAAGGCACGTACGGATCCGTAGAATTGAACCACAGCCCCAGTTGGCAACAAGCTGACGATGGTACCCGGAGAGGAGTCACCCGGCGCAATGTTCCGGATATCTTTGAAAAGAGTGGCATCCGAATTGACCAGGCTCTTTTTCATCGTAAGACGAATGAGGCGTCTCTCGGGATTCGTCGAGAGCACTCTGACTCGCACTGACATGCCCTCCCGGAAGCGCTTTTCGGGGTGCTCGAGCCGTACATCAGACATGTGCATTTCGGGAACCAGACCAATGATGCCGTCCGACAACTTGACCAAAACTCCTCCAATCCCACGGTCATTGATCACAATCTTCTCGACCGTTCCGGACAGCACATCGCCGATGGGAAGGTCTTCAATGCGCAAGAAAGGCTCGTTAAGGGTTTTCTCGTCCATGGCGAGCGAGAAGACGCCATCCATCTGGTTGAATCCGATAATTCGAGCTCGGTGGGAGGAACCAATCTTGAAAGACCCTTCCGAAGCCGACAACGACGCAATATTCTTATCGCTGACCCTTGAAATGTGGACAAATCCAGGGGTATGTTCCATGCCGACATCGACGAATAATCCTCTGAGCCGATCGACCTTGTAGACCTTAGCAGCGTCGACAAAAGACGATAATGGTCGCGTTTCCATGACTGGATGGCCCTCAGAGATTGTGGCAGAATTCTGCAAGGTTCGGACGTGATCGAGGAACGACACGCCCATCTTGGGAGGTTCGGCATTCGGGAATGTACAAATAATGCGGCCGCGGACCTTGGAACCTTCTTTCATCGCTTCGGCTGAACGCTGATTTGGTAAATTCAGTCCACAGTGCACAAAATCCGCAGTGACATCCAGCATGCCCATTACTTTTCCGACCACGCCAGTCTCAGAGGATTCGGTGACCAGGACCTCCACTGCGGTTCCAGGGAGAAGGATCCGAATGGATGGCGCGTCGAGGACGCAGTACTTTTCGAGAGCGCGCAGTTTTTTGCTGTCGCAGGATAGCTTCACAACGCGTTTGTTCGACTCGAAACCCGTGACAAGACAAAAGAGAACCGTTCCAGTCTGGATCTTGGAAAGGGGAAATTCCGGGCTAAGCTCAGCCGCAGGCATGAACCCTTTCGTTGAAGACTCCGAGAGTCCCAAGTCGAGGACAAGTCCATGATCTTCCACGCTTGAAACGGTGGCTTGAAGCATCGATCCTGCCACAATATCGTCCTTTGATATTCCACTGTTGACAAGGTTCGATTCAAGTGAAAGTTCAATCCGCCTCTTGGCCTTCGATTTGGTTTCCACCGCATGTCCTTCAGTGGAGGTCACATAGGCGCGGAGATATTGGCCGACGTAGAACATGCTCTCCAGATCAATGTCATCTTCATCTTCTGAATTGGCTTCGTCTGGCTCCGAATCCTCCAATAGGCTCTCGACCTTTTGGTTGATAGTCGGTGAGATGCTAGTCAGCGGTACATATCCAACCAGATTGTTCGGGAGAGCGAGGCAAACGTCTCGAGAGGTGATTCGGGTGACCTGGCCCAGGACAAGTGAACCTATGACGAGGCGCTAAATTGACTGTAAGTTAAATGAACTGCGTACATGGAATTTCCCCTTACTTTGTAACTCAGTCCTTCAGGTTTAATGCCCATATCATCCTTCGGTGCTTCATCCGCAGCATTGGCTTTCCCTTTCGGCCTCCTAGCCCTCTTGGTCTGCGGTTCCTTCACACGGCCCGAAGTGCTGCCTTCGTCATCACTCGACTCCGGAGCGGTGCGTTTGGCTCCACCCTGCTCAAACAGAACATCTTGGGTGGCCTGGATTTGGATCTGCTTATGTTCAAGTGGCGTGAGAGCACTTGCACCACCACGAGGGAAAGCTTTCTCTTCGGTCCGGAGGAGCGATACTGCTTTTGCAGGCTCGGGTTTCTCTGTCGAGGTTTTCTCTGTCGAAGCGGGTGGGATTGACTCGGCGGCCGAACTTTTTCGGTGCCTCTTCCGTTCTCTGGTGGTTGTTGAATCCGTGGCCTTTGATTGAAGCGACTCAGACGTCGCCTCAGCTGGGCGCTTTTTCGTCTTCATGGCGTACTAGAACCAATTGGTAGACCCGAGATATCTCTGTCGTAATATTGGTTTAAGGGCTGGAAACAAACGTGAACTCGAAATTTTTCTGTAGCGGAGCAGAGTGGCAGAAGCTGCAGTGGCGGTGCAAGAGTTTCATGGTAGAGGGTAGGGTGGTTGAATTTCAGTAATTTATATATATTTCTTCGGATGACTGATAGAATTTAAATTACGCATATAAATTGCTTCTTTCCGAAATTTACGCTAGTCCTATTTTGGCTTGGTTAGATTAAATATTGGTGCCTTGCAGCCTTAGGCATCAAAACCGAACTCCGTGAAATTCCTCAAAATCTCACCATCTTAACTCTATCTCCGCCATCCAAATTAGTAAACGAAAGCTTGGCATGAAATATTTCCAGACCTCCGGAAATCTTTCATGAAAATTACAAGAGCAATAGATTTCATTGAAATCTTTCACCCACCCTAGTAGAGGGAGGGCAGAGCAGGGGCACCCATGCTCAGTGGCTCAACACTTGATATTGTGGCTGTGCATATTAACCTTCACAGCCTTACAGCCTGAGGCCGACATCTCCACTCCAACGCGGCGCGTCACGTCCCCTCAACGCTCCAACCTCTCTCTCCTTCGTGTTCGCGTTTCCAACCAATAAAGGTCCATCCAAGCTATCAACCACTTTATTACACCATTAACCACTCTCCACTTCATCTTCAACCATCCCCCTTTGCCTCCCCATCCTCTTAACAACCGTCCAGTCGTCCGATTTCTTTTATTTATCGGGTTTACCATCCTTCAATGGAACAAAAGTCATAATGGATTTACCCCAGTCATCATCACAGTTCGATATCTACCATGATTCGAATGGCGTGTCCACCAACATTCCATCCTCTCCTCCCGAGATTCACAGTGTCCCAAAGCCGAGGAAGCCGCCTTCAATCACTCCACGACGCTTTACGAGATTCTTTACGCCCAAGTCCCTCCGGAGCCAGAATGGGCCTTCGTCACGCCCTTCAAGGTCGAGGCAGAAGCTGTCCGACATAACAACGAGAGCCCTCAACCTCCAGCCTCCACATCCTTCCGAATCCCACCGGCAGTTCGATAAAGCGGCTGCTCAAGATGGAGATTTTGCTTCTCTCGGTGCATCACCACGGAAACGAAAGCTTCCGATCACTCCTCCGGACAGTTCCCCTCTCTCGTCTCCCTCAAAGAGAGTCTGCTACTCGAGTCCCTCTCCGACCGACGTCCATGAGGACGACGAGGTCAGCAGGCGAATATCTTTCAGTGATGTTGAATCGAAGGATCGACCGAACTTAAAGCCAAACGTCCGACGCCTCGTTGTCTCCAACAACAGTGGCCGAATTCTTGAACGGTCGTTTGGCGGCCCAAGTAGCAGGAACAGGTCGGTTGATCACCGTCTGGGTATGTGGGCTTAAAGCAAATATAATCTTGCAATCTGGAGTATCCGCTAACAATATTACCCTACAGCAGCCGTCTCTGAGATGGGAGACTATTTTTCGTCGCCGGATGATCGCCTCCATTTCTCGGGAGCAGAAATGCCTTTCTGCATTGCAGGTAGCCACAGTACATGTATGTTTCATGCGACTCGGAATCAGGATCTATTCGCTGACCCAAAGTAGCGCTGTCGCTGGTTGCCACAGGAGACGAAGAGGGGCGGGTGCTGGTTCTAAACGCCGCGGACGGCGGCACATTTCCTCAGGTTCAGAGATCCGCTGAAGCTCACCGCAATGCCATCGTCGATGTGGAGTTTTCCCCCGATGACCGACTGATTGCCACGGCTTCGGGCGATCAGACCGCGAAAATCTATGATGCATACAAGATGACACCGATATACCATTTGCGTGGTCCCGGTTCTGCCATCAAGAAGATTTGCTTCCAACCATCCAGCGGTGAAGTCATTGCCGCGTCAAGAAGGGATGGAAGTATATGTCTTTACGATGTACGAGTTCAATCGCAACAGCCGGTGCTGGAGAGTCAGAAAGGCATGTCCGATAACTTCGACACAGCTAGCCTGGGTGTAACAGCTTGCACCAGCGGGCAAAGAGGCGTGCTGGGTGGCGCCGCTCAGAGTTATTGGCGACTGTTCGAAGCAGGGATAGGCCACGGCGCTGCTGCAAGACGAAGTTTGATGGACTCGGCTCCCGAAACTAGGTAAGAGAGTTGTCGTCTTGCGGAAAACTGCAAGAACCCAGGCACTGATGAAAATATAGACGAATGTCGCAACGTCTAAAGTCGGTATCGGTCACAGCATTGTCGTTTCTTGGCGAGAGACGCCCAGACTTGATCCTCTCCGGCTCCGAATCATCGATGAGCATGGCATTATGGGACATCCGGATGTCCAGCTGGTCCTCAAGACCTGTGGCTATGACCGCCGAGCCTTCCTGGCACCGAAATCGCCGCCAATACGCAATGACGAGTATCGTTGTGAGCGAGGATACCGGCCGCGTCTATGCCCTGGGCAAAGACAGCACCCTCTACGCATACTCCACGGAACATCTTATCCTCGGAACCGCGCCGGAGCTAGACCGTGGCGGCCTCCCACGAAAATGCGACAGACTGGGACTTGGCCCTCTCTACGGATTTCGACATCCGGATCTCCTTGTCGGCTCCTTCTATGTCAAAGCTGCGCTGAGGCGTGCTACAGCGTCGCATGCGGAGCTAGTGGCTGTTGGCAACTCTAGTGGCAAACCCATCTTATTCCCGACTGACCCATCTTTAATTCCTACACGGGATGGAAGCACATATACGACCACCTCGTCCCCTTGCCTTTCTAATACGTCCCGGAGAAATAACCGATCGCTCCGACCCACCCTTCAGCGCGCCTCGACCGGCACGGACATCGCAATCGGTGGCGAAACGATCCCGATTTTCGAGACCGGGGTCGCCTTAACGGGTGGACACGAGAAGGAGGTTTCCGACGTGGCCTGGACCGCCCAAGGCAACTTGGTTACCGCCAGCGATGATTTCTCCGTTCGTTGTTGGCGCCGGGGGGCAAAGGCGGCGTACTTACGGGGGGCTGCGGAGCATGGGCCGGAGCGGTGGGCGAGCGGGTGGGCCGACGTGCCTGAAACTGTGGATGACGAGGATGAGATCTTGGAGTAAGGGGTTAATGTTTGGATTTGGGGCAGGGAGCCGTTGGGCGATGATGGATACGACAGCATATTTCAGTATTAAATGGGACCCAAACTTGTATTGGCAACGTCGAATGTGTAGCATTGTTCATGAGCAAAAGGCATCCCCGTCAATAGGAACCCTAAAAATGCCTAAAATCTAACTTTTTCAAAGCTGTACGGGCCAACTCTCCGACTGATCTCCTGGCCCAATTGCCGCCGACTCTTACCCTTCGTAACACCGTCCGCGACCTTCCGTAGTCGCGCAATATGGTCAAACTTGCAGCCCAGGGGGAGCATCTTCGCCTCCATGGACTGATCCAGGGTCCCGATCGGTTTCGCGGCGTTCGTCCCGGGCGCTTTGCTCTCATTTCGCCCGAAGCCATAGCGATCCAGGCCTTCCAGCGCAAGCAGGGACGTGTCTCCAGGGAGATATTGCGCGTAACCGTCGTCGTAGCTCTTCTTCACGCCAAGGCTGTACCGCCTGAAGTCGCCGAGGAGACTTTTCAGGAAGACGGCTTCGTGGATGCCTTCGAGAGCGGCTGAGACATCGGTGCGCAGGGACAGCGGCAGACCACCTTCTTCATCCTCAGCAGCAGCTCGCACGGCGGCCTCGCTCTGCCATCCGGCAATGTTGACTGCATCCACTGCGCACGATATCAAATTGACAATGAGCAGAATGGCCCGGTCCGAGAGATCACTTTGCAATGATGTGGAAGCCGAGTCATACATAAATCGCGATGTCCATCCGCCGTGGGCCAATTCGATACGGAGCAATTGGATAAGGAAGATAATTTCTTGCGTGGTCAAGGAATCCCGCAGCGTGGCGACGATGGTAGTTGAAGGGAATGAGTGGAGTATCGTCAATGCTTGCCACAGAGTCTGGCCGCGAATGGCCTCTCCGTGCTCGAGAGTTGCGAGCGCAAGATCGAGGTCTCTCGACGCTTCTTCCACTTCTAGATCCAGTAGCGCTTCGTCGTGATCCTTTTTGCCGTCTGCCGTGTCATCGTTAGACTCAGTGGTGGTGTGGAAGCCGTGATCTTCGGTTCGGAGGCTTCTGATAACAGCCCTCACAGCTTCAACAACCGTGGGAGCATCGAGGTACCGATGAAGAAATAGCAATTCACGCAACAGACGCATTTCCGGGTCGTATCGAATGAAAGAAGAAACCAGATCCCGTGAGGTTGCAGGCCTCGCATTCTCCGAGGAACTGGCAGCCAGGGCTCGGTTCAGCATGCTCAGGGAAAAGTGAGCGCTGAGGACAAGCCACTGCAGAACATTCTTCGGAAGAAATAGAATGGTCAATTGGCCTTTTTCCTCTGAGTCCGCGGACTTGCTTGATGTTGCTTGATCCATAGCTCCATTCCATGCAAATATCTTTGCAAGCGCGTATTCTGCTTTCTCAGGGTGTGCACGAAGCATCTGATCTCTCCCAATGGCCTCAAAGTCCCATTGAGATCCGCTGCGCGACGCACTATCGGAGGTCGAGGTGGTTTTTGAGCGTTTCGAAGGTTTCGATGGATGGGATTCGACATCCAACTCCCGTACCGGAATATTCAGGCCACGCGCAAGGATGTTCTCGAACTCCTCCACATTTCCAGCGTCTGATGCTCGCTCCAAAGCTTGCCGTTCTTTTTCCCAACTGGCGGTAACTTTCGAACTGCTACGGGGTAATTCAGCGTCCAAGGATGATATCCTCTGAGATAGGGGAGCCTGCACAGAGACTCCAGTGCGCTGTGGCCCTTTTGCTAACGAATCGAGAAGAGTGGAATCCCGGAGACTTCTGGCAGCAGAGCTCTCGCCTTTTGAGATGGAGAACGATATCAGCTCGCCATCTGCAACACCCACGGCCAAGTTGGATTTCGCGCTGTACAATATAAGCCGAAACGAACCCCAGGTATTGTTCATAGCCCCCCTCTTTCGTTTTTTCAAGCCGCTGAATGAAGACTCTGAACCGGCCGCAATAGGAGTCGAGGATAACACCGACTGGTAGGTCATATCGAGAACCCCGACGGAATGTGAAGAAAGGAAAATGAGGTGCGAGTGGCCGAGGCAGATGAAAGATCGGATTGGAAGAGAGTAGTTCTCAAACGTGGCCGATATGCGAGGTACCGTACCCGAAATATCAATAACACTCACCCTCCGCCCATCGCCGCAAACAATTTTGCCTCGCGCATCGTCAAGGAACCACTGTCGACAATCCTCAGGATTGCTTGAGAACGGTAAATCCCAGCAGTCAATCTCGACGATGGCGGATCCATGTTCCTCGAGCCAGATAGCGCAGATGGAAAGACGATGACGGACTTGTGAGGAATTCGACTGATCGGCGTCGCTGAGTAGCGTGCACAGGATTTGCGGCTCCCCTCTTCTTTTCGTCGAATGGTCGCGAATTTGAGCGACCAGATCCTGACGACCATTCAGAAGGCCGGCCTCCACGTTTTGGAAGTTGCAAAGACAAGCGAACTCGGCCTTGAACCCGTCGACATCTTGCGCTCGCGTAGCACTCGTCTCCCCCTTGGGCTTGAACTTCCATTGCAGAGAGGACAGATCCGCGGACAGACAAACAACGGTACCGTCACTTTGGATCAACAGGACAAAATGATCCAACATCCCCGGAGAGTAGTATTCGGAGCCCATTGCGACCTCAATAGCAACCACCATCTCTTCTGGTCGAGTAGCATGATGAGGATAGGAGTAGCGCTTGGTTTCGCCGGCCGGCGATGTGGCTTCGGTGTAGCATACGACCTCATAGCTAGGTACTCCAATTTTGGTTTCGATGAAGGCATATGTAAACCTCAGAGGCTGGGTCGCGTCCGACGTTTTCTTGCATATTGAGGATGGCTTGGTGAGAAACCTTGTCTGAGGTGCGACAGGATAAGTGGTTACGAGGCGTGGCTGCTTGATCTAGAGTCCGCTGTCAGTCGAAAGTTCAACACATAGGGTCAGGTGCCCATACATCGTATATATGCAATCCGGAGCCGTCCACGGGCACGAGAATCTCGTCCCTTTGTCGCTTTCGAGTACCTTTGAGATGGTATACAGGTGAAGCATGGTCGGGCTGTTGATCCTGGGCTACAGGACTCGCAAACCTGGCCAGAACAGAAGGGTTCCCTATCTCTAGGTCTGTCATCTCGGTGTAACTGAGATTGCAAGACACTGAGCGGGCATATCGTGAATAATATGGGAGTACATCAAGTACAGTATTCTTCGTGAAGAGAAAAATGTTGATGGAAGCAGTCCCGGAGTATAACCGAAACCAGGATCTTCGGGTTGGTTGGCTTTGAGTTGACAGGAGAGGCCCGTGCACTACCAGCCACCATTGGGCATTGAGTACGGAGTATTGGCTCACAATAACTCACATTGAGGCTTGAGGAATTGACCCCACACTCACGTGCACTACGCAGGCAACAGTCACGTGCAGTCTGCAATTCAGCCACACCTGGCACGCTGCGTCGCGTCTCAAGTCTCTCAACGCGTGTCCGTGTCTATCAGGCGTTCAGTGTTGAGTGTTCAATTCATTTGGACTTCCCAAGTCCATCCATTACCTGAATATCAACCTGAATATCAACCTGAATATCAAATTGACAATCCCCTTGATTCCAATTCACTTTTGATATTTCACTCCTCTTCATGATTATATATTCCCTCAGATATCAATCCGCCTTTCAAGAACACTCTCCGATCTATTGTGCTCCCCAGGTCCTTAGAAAATTCATCGTGTCTCCTGACCATCACCGTCGACACTCCCAAAAGTCATGGAATAATGGTCAACATAAGTGTAGTTGAAGGATACTGGATCGAATGGGCTACACAATACTTCCACACATGATGCCTGTGGACGCAAAACCACAGCTGCATCCCTTCTTCGCACCAGCGGGTACGTCCACTCCTCCCTGATCCATATAGCCATTACTCACGAATCATGCCCTCGGTAGGATCTAAAGATTTTCACCAACAGCCAGAGACCACAGATGCACTCAGGATTGACCCAACCCCAAAAAATCACGGAACAATTACGAGCCAAACTCATGGCACTACCGCAAGCAGCGAAGCCCCCTCGGACGCCGGAACCAGCCGAACGAAACCGAGACAAGTGCTCCTTAGCGAGTTCATTAAGAATTCCAATCGGAAGGACGAACAAAGCGAAATTGCACAAGCAGCGACAAAGTCTCCGGAGGCGCATACGGATATCAGTCAGCCGAGGAAACGGAGAAAGCTTTCGAACGAAACCAACGAGATCCTAGTGGCTTCCGATCCCTCCAAGGTAGAGGACAATGGGTCTTTACCTGATGATCCTACATCGTGGCGTGAACAGTTGTTAGACGAAGCCAAACCCGATTCTGCGGAGCCTGCAGCGAAAACAGTTAAAAATGGAGGTTCGTTGCGCGAATTACGTCCCCGAAATCCAGGGGATGGCGTTGTCATTGAAGAACAAACAAATGGGCGACCGAAGAGAAGAAAACCGCCTACCCGGAAATCTCCAACTGCAAAGAAAGCTAGGAAGCAAGAACTCGGTGTCATTATTTCATACGGAAAGGCAGCAAAGAGTGATACTGAAGAGCTCGGTGCCCGCATCAATGCTATTCTGTCTGGAGACCTAGTCCTTTCAACTGGGTTGAAAAAGGCATCTGCACCGTTAGCTAATGCTTCAGTAAAGGGTCGTCCCATTCACCCTTACTTCAAGTCCAGAGCTGCAAGAGAACAACAGGTGGTGGCGGACAAAGGCTCTACTGTCATCGCCAGAGTTCAACAAGATGGGCCGGCACGCAAAATGGCTTTTAGCAGTCCAGGAAAGCTCCGTGCGGAGACATCGGCAAGAAAGGGCCAAACAAGTTCTAGGGAGCCCGAAGTGATCTATCAGTCATTCCATCTCAACAAGCCCAAAACGATCGAAAACACGGATGCACCATGGCCTCGGAAATACATGGCGCATGTCCGTGGAACTCTGGAGAAGCAATATCTCGATCTCTCCAGTCCCATCGGTCATGGCCGGAAAGGAAGCAGCAGGGAGAAGAGGGCGGTACTGGGAGTTGGAGATTCAGAAAACATTATAAACCAACAATGCTCTTTGCTGATGGCAAATAACCTATTGCCGCATGACAAAGATGGTGGCCGTCATCCGTCTATTCACCTCCCGCAACGAGTCCTCACTACAGGAGCTGGGATCAGAAATGAGCTTGAGCAAGAACTGTCCGCCTCGACTGCCGATACTACACGAATACATCAAACCCTGAGCGAGGCCTTTGCGAACGACCGTAGCCATCTCACTGCTTTCGATACAGGGGGATATGAAAGGGACCTCTGGACCACGAAGTACTCTCCCAGTCGATCTAGTGAAGTTCTTGGGAATGCTAAGAATGTGGCTATTCTGAAAGACTGGTTGTCCTGTTCAGCATTAACTGGCAACGAGGCTTCCACAAAAAGCGCGGGCACCCCCTCTAAAAGTTTTCCTAAGCCCAGAAAACAGAAAAAGCGGAAAAGACAAGGTGACGACCTAGACAACTTCATTGTGTCCAGCGATGAAGGAGAAACGAAGTCCTTCACCGAGATTTCCGACGATGAGAGCCATCTACCGTCATCCAGCACCACCCGTTCGATCAAGTCCCTGATTCTGGAGGGCGGCGCGAGTCGAGACAAAGACGAATCCGGGCGGCAGCTTCACAATTGCGTCCTAATCAGCGGTCCGCGTGGCTCCGGGAAAACGGCTGCAGTGTACGCAGTCGCTAGGGAGCTCGGTTTCGAGGTTTTCGAAATCAATCCTGGGTCCCGGAGAAGTGGTCGAGATGTTCTGGATAGAGTCGAGTATATGACTGGCAATCACCTCGTCCATCGCAGTTCCAATGGGCCCAATGGATCAAGCGTCACTGATGAAGGAAAAGGAACAGTGAACCCAACTGAGGAAGCCCTTGCCCCGAGACAAGGACACATGAAGTCTTTCTTTCAACCGAAAATAAAAGTCCAGCCATCGAAAACTGCGTCAATCCCCACATCAGCGGTCAAATCCGAACCAGCAAGCGGAAGCTTTGACAAGGTTGAACTTAAAACCCCACGGAGGCAGCCAAAGCAATCACTCATCTTGCTTGAAGAAGCTGATATTCTCTACGAGTCAGACAAGCAGTTTTGGTCAACCATCACGACTTTGGCTTCTCATTCTAAAAGGCCAATCGTCCTCACTTGCAACGACGAGCGATCGATATCCACGGAAGCCCTCCCTTTCTTCGCCATTCTTCGATTTGAACCGCCTCCCGTGGATCCAACCGTCGACTATCTACTACTCACGGCCGCCCGAGAGGGCCATATTCTGGAGAGGGAAGCAGTCAAAGAACTATACGAGATTCGCGGCCATGATCTCCGGGCCGCCATGATGGATTTGAATTTCTGGTGCCAGATGGCCGTGGGCGATCGGAAAGGGGGTCTCGAATGGTTCCTGCAGCGGTGGCCTCCTGGTTCTGATGTCGATGACCAAGGCCAACTGCTACGAGTCGCAAGCCGACACACATATACCACCGGAATGGGCATTGTCAGTCGGGATCTATTCCAGCCAAACCAATGTGTGACCGGCAACGAGACAGAACTGGTAGTCATGGAAGCGTGGCGATCCTGGGGTGTCGATATTGACGAGATTTCCGAGAGTATCAGTCCCTGCGTCGTCTCTGCTCCCCGGGTGTCGAATGGAGACGGAGCCCCGCCATCGATCCACACCTTGGATGCTGATGCAGACCTGGAGAGCATTGCCGACCTCTTTCGAAACTGGGCGACGCCACCTCCGATCAAAGAACCAATCGACGCTACCCTGCCAAACCCTCCACCTGGATTGAAGGCCGACTCTCTGGACGGTCGTCAGATCTTATACGCAGATCCGCAAACGCGCTACGTCGATACACCCGCAGAGATTGCAACATATATCTCTCTAAAATCCTGTCAGAGCCATAGGCAGATTTACGATGCCTATTCTATGCCTGGTAAGGACGCCACTTCTGCTCCCGACAGTCTCGAGCAACCAACCATAGAGGCCATCAAGGCCTACTCGGCGAGAAGCATGTCCTACGACCGTCATACAATCCGAGCCAAAGACCTGGACGAACGCATGATCGAAGCTTTATCGGAAGCAACCCTGTCTGGAACAGAGTTTCCACCCGCCGGACCCATGGTTGCAGCCACGTTGGCCCATCGGGGGATATCAATCAGCACAACGGATATTGCACCTTACGTACGAAGCATTGCTAGGTTCGATCAAGCCTTGGAAGGGCAGAGATTAAGGCTTAGCAACTTGCTTTCCGGCGGCGGCCAGCGTCCCCCGCGATTGCGAATGACGCGAGCGAGCAGGAGCGCGCTTGAAGGGGGCCGGCGAGAAACGACGAGAAGGGAGCGCTGGTTCGCCAGCGACGTGAACTTGGAGCTGGCCATGGACTCGGCCGGTTCCGACTGGGCTGGTTTGGGAGGTAAGGTGCCAGAGGTACCGGTTGACGCAAGCACTTCCAGCAGAGATGATGATGGCTCGAACGAAAGTCCCCAGGTTGCTCAGTCCCAGGAATAAGGGGGATGCATCGTAGGGCGGGGGGAGAAGCCATGGAGTTAATCACGACATTTAGAATGGGATCTGGGATGAATGATGAATCAGAGAGCAGCTAGATCCTATTCAAAACTGCGTTCGTCTATTGTATAGTCATGATGCGTGCCTTGTGATGCTCTCGTTCCATCGTCGACGACATTTGCGAAACTCTGCTCCAGAATCGTTAGTTGGCGATGATCTGCTTGCCCACAAGCAGATAGAACCAACCGTATTCAGTTTCAATAGGAGCGTCGTCCGAGGCTGGACACGTAGATGTGGTATCCATACACATCTTGTTCATGGAGCGTTCAGGAGATAAGATAGTGGACTCAGTGCCACGAACATCACCCGGCAGCACCAATTGAGGGAACACCTTCCGGCCCTTTGACCATGATTGGCAAGTCCAGTTTTCTGCCCGATTCGTCTGCATCCGTCTGCTTAACGTCTCGTGCTCGGGGTTTGGCAGTCCGCTCGGGACTCCCCTTAGCCTCCCGCCGCGCCTGATCTTTATAAAAGCTCCCCTTCATCTCCATATCGTCAATCTCGAGCGCTGCGAACATGCTGCCCGTCTTAAGCTTGCCATTGACGTCCAGCCAGTCGGTTTTCCGACTCTTGACCGTGCTATGTCGGCCGGTGCTCTTCTGCACCTTCGCCTCCAGCTTCGCAACGTTGGCGTCGGCGCGCTCCATCCCCTTCTCGTGTCGCAAGCGTTGTTGACGCGTTAGGCTCTTCTGCTTGGTTCGCTTGTGGACGCCCGCACTGTGCGGGGAGAGGACGTCGGGACGTCCTACTGCGGAGGTACCAGTTTCAACGCTCTTCACGGTCTGGTCGGGATTGAGGGGTGGCGAGACATGTCGTCGTGCCGTTCGGGAATGAACCGAAAATTCTGCTTCGATGTTAGCAAAACCGAAGTTGAATTTTGCGCTCGAGAGGCTCCGTACCTCGATTCTTAGGCTTAGGCGTCTTCCCCATTATGATCTTGTAGCGATGGGTTGGCGGGATAGACCAGTTTGGTGTGAAGCTACAGCGGTTGGGAGATTTTGCGGAAAGCCGTTATCTAGATTTTCGAGGACGGTTGCAGTCTTTTGGGCAAGACAGGCAGTGAAGGGGATATCTAGATGTTGTCCGTCCCACAATCTTTGAACGCAACATCAACTGAATGGGGGGGTTAAGAGTTTGGAGATGTTCTGTTTCTGGAATCGCGTAAAGTGGAGAGCAAATGCCAAGATTTCGGCCTCAATTAGGCGGCGCACGAAATTTTGGTCTCAACTTAAATGCCTCGTCACTCGTCCAATACGAAGCAAAGGGCAGCAAGCGGAATAGCTATTCGAAATTTCGCATTTGTAAGAGAAGCTATTCAACCTATTCTCAAATGATATTTGCTAAATTTACCTTCGTCTTGTTCTGGTACGCTTCTGCCAAAGGGCATTTGCCAGGGTGCTGGTCGCTGGAGCAGGGCTTCAACACGGACGACATCAAACAGAACCCAGGAAGCTAGAGCTCCAATGCGGAGAGAACCCTTCATGTACCGTAGTCATAGCGACAGCAGCATCAAATATCTTGTCATCAAATCATTATTCATATACAAGCGCAATACGATGGTCTGACAGGAAGTTTCAAATGTTCGACCTACTTCCCTGAAACGGCAACAGGCGCTGAATCGTCCAGTCCCACTCGGCTGCTTGCAATCGTGCTCATGCTGTTATGGGCCTTCGTCTGCCTGTTCATTGCCTGCCCGTCGCCCCTCCCTTCACCCCCCCCCGGAGTGTTTTCTTTTACCTCCGCCGTTGTCCTCCGTGATCGATTGCCGTCCACAACATCCTCGAGTTGGCCAGACTCCAGCTGGCTTTCTCGCTTCCATCCCTGCTTCCGCTTTGCGAACAGGCTCAGGAACGCGCCTAGCCACGCGGCCAATTTTTCTTCGCTGGGCGCGGCGAACCGGTAGTTTCGATCGTCGGCGATGAGCTGCATGCAATACGGCCGGCTCTTGGAAACGGGGTCGATTTCCACGGCCGAGACCAGCGAGGAGAGGGGTAGGATTAGGACGGCGGAATACTCTTCTTCGCTTTTATAGAAGGCACAGTTCCTCGGTCGTAAGACGGACCACAGCCTCTTCCATTGTCGGACTCCGCCTTTCGTTTTCAAAAGGTGCAGCCAACCTTGGTAGATTATCCGATCCTCCGATCCTTCAGGAACGGAGGCACCTTGCCCTGTGATGCTCGTTGAGCTGAGGGCCCGCTGTGCTTCAGGATGTGAGCCCTCCCGTGATTTCGACAAGGACAAGGGCACGCCGTCAGGCCGAATCGATCCACCAATATCCGATAGGTCCGAAACGCTCATGTCATTTCCCGAATAGCCGGCTCCAAGCTGCGTATTTTGTCTGCTCTGAGCAAGCGAACTCTTCCGCGATGCAGCAGCCGCACTGTGGAGCTCGCCGGGCTTTCTACTCGGAACGGGCATTCCTTCCGGCTCGGAAGAGCTGCTCGCCATCGCAGCGGGTTGTTGCACGCCCAAAGGTGTACGCCCGCGGTCCATGGCGCTATCCATGGTCCAATTGCCAAAGGTAGGATTGGGTCCCGTATCCTCGCTGGGGGACTGTAATATGTCAAGTTCATCATCTGCCTCGTCGATTCGTGCTCCCTGGCGGATGAGGTTGACCCAGTCTGTTACCTCTTTGTCTGTTTTGGCGGCAAGGTGGACGGTTCTGGCGGATGAAAACACCCCGAACACATGTTCGGCCTTTCCCTTGGGATCCTTCTGTCGAGCAATCGCGGTTATATCGGATAGTTTGAGTTGAAATCGAAGCTTCGTTCCTTCCGCGTCCTTATACAGCGACATGGTGTGAGGTCGAAGGATAAGGTACATCGGCTTCCAGGTCTGCCTCTTCAAGTTAGCCATTTTGGAGTTGACCGGTGATGCTCCCCGAGTGGTGGTAGCGTACCTTGGTCGTCCGGGTCCTCTTTTGTACGTCGCCAGCCTTGATGATCCTGTCAAACTCAAAGCTACCATTCTCATTGACAGGGGAAAACACATCGATGCCTTGAGACACCGAGTTATTGAAAGTTTGCACACGACTGAGCTTAGGTTTTCGTTTTGGCGATGGCGAAGCGCCTGCGTGACTTTGCTCCGCATCTACCACCTGCTGCGAAGATATGGATGTCGCCATAGTCCCTATCCGGTATTCCGAGTGGTATTCAATTGCTTAAATGAGTGTAAACGATCCCGTCAGGATTCGTTGGGTATTATTACGGCATTCCGGACCCTCGATCGTCACAAGTTCGGATGTCGTATGATCGTTCAACTATGGAGAATCGTGGACGTCAGTTTGAGCAGCAATAGGGATGGCCAACAGCAAGGGTGAATACCTTTGAAGAGAAGATGGGGAAATTGAAGCAATTACATGACGAGCCAAGAGAGGAATGCAGGTGCCTAGTACGAAGCGAGAGTCGTTGGTTACGCCCATGATCAAGAGATGGCATGGGCGTCTAGATGCAGTGGGTTGTTCAATTCCATGCGACGAAAGCAGTTATCACGGGTTCAATACGATATTGTGTGGTTGTTTTCATCACCCACAATATCCACCATCACAGACATGAAAGGATATTGGTTGGCATGCTGCATTGATGGCGGTCGTGGTATGCCCAGGTATGCATCGCCCTACTAGGTTTACTTTCTATTACAATAACAAATTGTCTGGAGCGTCTTCACTCGCTCGCCCTTTCCATGAATATATACGGTCACGTGCAGGCTTGCTCCAAGGGTCATGTGACCTTGGTCGGTCTTATATCACCAGCACAATAACTATCTGATGGAAGTTGCATGACCTCTATTCACTGCAGTATATTCAAATTGTATGGATAGAGAATACTTCCATGCGAAGTTACTCCTTGCGAAGATAATCCTGCAAAGATGTGTCGCCAAGTAACTTCTTCCATCACAGACACCATACTTAATATCCCCGTTTGGTGAGCCACGCTTTCACGTCCTCACTATCCCTCTCAATCCAGTTTTGCTTCGCTCGAATGGCATCCAGGCTCTGGGCGAGGCTCTGGTCAAATCCTTTGGTACTCCTCGCCTCGAAGAACGCACGGAGACTATCCATGTGCTCCGAGTGCGTGAACCCCGACGTACAGATGGTGACGACCGAGCTCAACATCGTCAGTCCGGGTGGAAGGCGCTTCTTAAGCTCGTCCCAGTTCTCCTGCATCCACGCCCACATGGCTTCGACACCGGCGCGGTGGGTTCGGAGTCCGGAAAGCGGCAGGTAGATGTCCTGTTCTTTGACATCACCGCCCAATGGCAGAGACAGGGTTCGCTTGATCAGCTCCGGGTCCTTCGCCCGTCCAAGGCTCATCAAAGCCGTGTTCCGCTCGTCGCTGGTCTTCGCAGTACGAGCTTCTTGAAGAATAGCCTGGTACTAAACAAGGTGTTAGCATGGGATATTCAAAAGGAATTCAAACACTTACCTCTTCTTCCCCGCCCTCGCTCAAAACAATGGCATACACTGAGCTGCGGATGTTTGGATGGATGGCAGTTCTATCGCCCTTTTTGAAAGCGGAAAACATTTCGAACGCCGCTTTCTGGATTTTGTCATCGCCAGCCAATCCCGCCGATCCGAAAAGCAGTGACTTGAACTGCTGCTCCACAGGACTATCACTGCCCTTGAACGCCCAGCCAAGTTCGTGGGCTTTGTCTTTGACGAGATCTAGTTGCACCTTCTTCAGCGCAGATTTGAGGTCATCATCTTCAAATAGCCATGCAGCCCGCAACGACGCAATGCGACTTGCGATCTCGTTCCATACGACAAAGGCAGACTCGGATTTGAAGCCCTCCAATAGAGAAAGAACCCCGGAAGTCTTCTGATAACCCGAAGCAGCTAATGCTCCCGCATCGGAAATCATGCCTGCTCGATCTTCGACGGACAAGAGACCGTTCTTTGCTGCCTCTCCAAGTTTCTCCAACCTCTCCGGAGTGTACGACGTACGGTAGAATCCAGAGTGATCCGTATTCAGCTTGAAAAACTGGAGATCATCGACCTTGAACGAACTTTCCCGTTCGCTGAGCGTCAATTCCTCGCTGACACCAGCCTTCGATTTCAGCCCCAAGAACACTGGGAACAGTGTCTGGTCTTCTTCTGGTTTGACGTCGGCAGTTCTGAGGAACCGATTTTGCTTGACGTGAATGGAACTGGTTGCAGGGTCCTCGCTGACGCTGACTACCGGGAAGCCGATCTTGGTGGTCCAGATGTTCATGATCTCTTCGACTGGTTTGCCAGAAGCGCTGCTGAGGGCAGCCCAAAGATCCGAAGTCTCGGTGTTGCCATAGGCGTGCTTTCTCAAATACTGTCGAACGCCCTCGATGAACGTTTCCTCGCCCAGGTATTTGGAGACCATTCGCAAGACGCAAGACCCCTTCGAATAGGAAATGGCATCGAAGATTTGGTTGATCTCATCGGCGCGCTTGACCGGAACCTGGATAGGGTGGCTGCTCCTGAGCGAGTCCAAGGAAAGGGCCTGCTGGAGAGTGTCGACGACATAAGTCTCCCAAACTTTCCAGTCCGGGAAGAATTTCTGGTCATTCAGGGCAAACCAACTCATCCACGTTGCGAAGCCTTCATTGAGCCAGAGACCGTCCCAAAACTCCATCGTGACGAGGTTACCAAACCACTGGTGGGCCAGTTCGTGAAGAACTGTCTCAGCTATCCTTTGCTTTCGATTGACACCGTGCGTTGTTTCATCGAAGAGCAGATCGACGGTCCTGAACGTTACCTACACCCACGCGTTAGCAAGGACCATTTCATTGGTCATGGATGTCCTACCAGAGCCCAGTTCTCCATGGCACCCGCCGAAAAATCGGGAATCGCGACGAGGTCCATTTTAGGGAAAGGATACTTCAAGTCGAAGACCTGTTGGCTCTCATAGAAGGCCAGGCCTCGTGCCGCAAGGTCCAGAGAAAAGCGGCCATGCTCAATGTCTTGATCAGGGGTAGCGAATACCCGGACGGGGACACGGAAGGCATTGGTCTCGATACATTTGAGTTCGCCAACGATGAACGCGACCAGATACGTGGACATCGATGGGGTTTTGTTGAAGGTTACAGCCTTTTTCTTGGACCCAGTCATGGTAGAATCGATTTCCGTTTCCGAAGCAACGTCCATGTTGCTCAGGCAGGTGAGATGCTTGTCCGCGATGAGAGTCACGGTATACTCAGCCTTAATCGCCGGCTCGTCGAAGCACGGAAATGCCCGGCGTGCATCGGTGGGCTCCATTTGCGTAGTGGCCATGTACTTGACGTTCCCATCCGCATCTTTGTATGAAGAGCGATAGAAACCTGCCATGTTGTCGTTCAATGTGCCCGAAAAGGTGTGGGTTAGGGTAGCCTTCTGGCCAGCTTGTAGGCTTTTACTGAGCGAAATCGTTGTCGTTTGCGTGTCTTCATTGTACGATAAGTCCGGAGAGGCCGCGATGACGGTCGAGCCACTTTTGATTTCGGTAGATTGGATGTCGAGTTCAAGCGTATTCAGCGAAATGGAGTTGGAGTCTTCGAGGACATCCAGGCTTTGCAACTTTATTAGTCTATTGTTGACAGCCACGGCACAAAACCACTCACTCTATTGACACTTTGCCATTGTAACGGAAGGTCTCCAGGTCAGGTTCCAAGGTCAAATGGTAATGGAGAGGCTTGACATTCTTGGGGAGAAGCTCTCTCCCGTTGCTAATGTCCAGACTCATGCTTGGAGCTTCTCTGCCCATGGATCGACACATGCTGCGCTGAAAGGAGCAGTATCGTACAGCTTTGAGAGATGTAGTAATCGCCGATAATGGGTTTCTAAGGACTCGTGTAGCGCTACAGGTATTTTGTGTCACTAGCGGTCGTCGAGATTGTGACGTGAGAATTGGTGATGATCGTGGAGGGTGTCGCAGCTGTGGTTTCCGGAAGGCAGTTGAGCTTCGGGCTCCTGCAAATCGGATTAGTGCCGGGCTAAGACACATTTAAATGCAATATAGGAACGAAGCGAAAATTAAAAATGAAAACGAGAGGCCTGAATGTCCACTTCTGTTGACGCTTTCCTGACCGTCAATCAATTCGTTCCATGACGGAATTGAAATGCGATTGAGACGCAAGACTTTGGATATGTTTAAGCCTTAGGCCACAGCCCACAGGGCATTAAAACATGACTCATTTCTCAGATAAATCCGTACAATTGCCGTGAACAATGCGATTCATGTCCATGCACTCATCCCTCCGGAGCTTCGTCTTCAATGAAACATGTGAAGCTTGAGGTCCAAATCGGCTGTTCAAGTGTCTTAGGTGGTGAACTAATCCAAGGACAATCCCCTCACCGCCGTTGCAATCTGTGGGCAACAAGTCCCATACCGCTCCTGCCAGTCCTTTCGGTGTCTCCCATTCCAACGCTGTTTACCGTAACGTACCACTCATATCTCCGACGTGATGTACCTGCGATGTGCCGCATTTCATGATGTCAGAGCTCAGCGCTCAGCGCTCGTTTCCAGAGGACGAGCATAGCAGTCCTGCCTCGATAAGAAGCTTCTCTCGGACACCTCAACCCTACCATCTCCATCGGTTAGAGATTCCGCACGACCCTCCGTCCACCCACGATCACGAGGGACAAACCGACCCGAACGAGAAGAGAGGAGGAAATCCGGAAGTTGGACAATCCCAACATGACTGGGACTCGCGCCGGGCCGCCCGATCATCAAGCGACAGCGGCACGGAAGCGGACGATGAAAGCTCCAGCTACATAAAAGCTCTGCCACCTCCTCCGGCGCGACCTAGAAAAGGTCTCCGTCATGGCCCTGGAGACCCTGGGAACTCGGGGGACGAGAGTCTTACTCCGCCGAGGACACCCATGGAAGTTGAGAACCACGATGTCAAAGTCCTTGACTATTTCACCCGAACCGCCAACCAGAAACGGATCGCTGAAGAGAGTGCCGCTGCGGCGGCGAGGGAGAAGTTCCTGAGGCGGCGTCGTATTGAGTTGCTTCGAAGAGCCACCGAAGTTTCCTGGGTTTTTCTCATGGCCTTAGCAGTATATTGGAGGGAGAAGGACACGATTTCTTTACAGCTAAGCCGCACTGGTCAGTCAATTGCCATCGGTTTGCCGTCATCAGCTAAACATCCGTCAGAACTATTTACATACGTTCTGCTTATCTATGCCGTGTACACACTCTACCCCAGTCGTCTCATTCATCATTCCAGCAAGCCTTGGTGGCCAGTCTTGCCAAAACTCAAAGATAGCATCCGGGTGCCTTCAGCATTCGATCCGGCTCCATTACTGTATCCTGTCATACTTCCGGTACTAGTAGCTATGTCGCTACATGTTCAGCATCCGGGTGTCCTTATTCCCAATATCGTCCTTGGACTCTCTTCTCTCCCTCCTCAAATAGTCCCAGCGATCAGTGCTTCGGAGACTATCCCTTATTTTCATTGGATCCTGGCTGTGTTACCACTTGTAGCAAGGAACCGTGGTTTATACTACTCGGTCGCCTCCGGAGCGGATGGAGGACCATTGCATATTGTGGACACTCAACGGGACGAATTGCTCTCGATGCTGTTTCCCCTCCACTATACACTTCTCAAACCGCTGGCGTATCTGACGGCTACAAGCCTTCTCTCTTCCGAGCTGCAACTACTTTCAACAGCATTGATCAACCTCCTCCTGTTCTCAAAATCCCCGCATGCCACAATTTTGCGAATATTGCTATGGGGCGGAGGTTTAATTTTATTCGTTCTTTGCAAACCGGTTATCGTATGGGCCATTGCACTGGCTCGCATACCCCGTTGGCGATTCCGTCGTGCAGGAAGAGTTATACAGGCGCGTCAATACTTCCTAAATAGGCTGCTGGGATCCTTACGAGCAGCCTCCAAGGACCGGACTCCTCTGGCGATGAAGCCCTCACTGGATGACAGCGACAGCGAAGAAGCACACACTCCCCAGAAATATATGGGCAACACAATTGCAGCCCTCGAGCTTGAGATAGCCAATCGAGTTCAAACCAAACTCGGAGCCTTCGAGGGCGACGCCGAAACCAAATCCGCAGTGGAATCAACCCGGGGGAACGATTTTTTCCCCAAAGCTGACCTTGCGGATATTAAGAGGCAACGGCGGAATACCGCGCCGAATATGAAAGGCAACCAATCGCCTGCCATTCCTGTTCGAACCAAAAAACATCAGAGGTCACGCAGTCTTTATAAGTCCTTTCTGTCACTTACACCCCAGCAAGCGGTTCATCGCAAGTGGATGTACGCGTGCTATGTCTACGCAGTTATTGTCCTTACGATTCTTGGGCCGATTCGATTATGGGTCCAGCACGAGGCACTTGATGGCCACGAGCCGTTCGGCTGGGCGATTGGTTACCTCTTCGGCAATATCCGTGCCGTTCGGTTCTCAGTCATTGACTGGAATTTGGAGCGCTGGATTCCACTTTCACCACTTGAATCTTCGACCCCCACCGAAGAGTCGTTTGGATTTGCAGAAAAAATTCGAGCTGGATATGGATTGGCAAACGTGCGGCTTGTTCTCAGTGTCTACTTGCTATCGATACTAGGTGCAGGGCTCTTGGTCGTTTTGCGGCTTTCCAGTTCCGTGGAAGTAGACACGCGACGGAAAGTGTTCCACGGCACCATGGTCGCCATGTTCCTCCCCGCGATCTACATCGACCCGTCCTTCTGCGCGCTTGCGCTAGGCCTTGTCCTCTGCATCTTCCTCCTCCTGGACGTGCTCCGCGCCAGCCAACTCCCACCGCTGTCGAAACCCATCGCCTCGTTCCTCACTCCTTTTGTGGACGGTCGAGACTTGCGAGGGCCGGTCGTGGTCAGCCACTTATTTCTCCTGATCGGCTGCGCGACTCCGTTGTGGCTGAGCTTGTCGGGGATGCAAACGGGCGGCGTGGATCCGTGGAAAGGCTGGGAGGTCAAAGGGAGTGATTTAAGTATGGTTACAGGGGTGATATGCGTCGGGCTTGGGGATGCGGCGGCAAGCCTGGTCGGTCGGCGTTTCGGAAGAACTAAATGGCCGTGGACTGGCGGGAAAAGCATTGAGGGGAGCGTTGCGTTCGCCGTAGCGGTTCTTATTGGCCTTGCTCTTAGTCAATTCTGGCTGGATGTTGGCCAGTGGAAGACAGGGGGCGTTGACTGGGCGTCTTGGATTCCGAAGGCTGCTACGGCGGCTTCGGGTGCCAGCTTCACGGAAGCTGTCCTCACAGGCGGGAATGATAACGTTGTGGTTCCGGTCGTACTGTGGCTTTTGGTTCGGGCTTTGGGTATTTGATTGAGCTGCATAGCGTACTTTGTCCATGCATCGGGTGGCGTGACCGATAATTCAACGTTAGAGGCTTCTGTAGATCCGTTTACACGCTCAGATTCCGGCCTTGAGCATGAATATCTGCAAATAATGTAAGCATCGTCAAGGCATATCGAAACCATTTCAACCCTACCTCATTGAGTGCTGTCTGACTCGACATGGCCATTCGCTTCTGGAGAATCGATCTGCGTCGTAGTTCTTGGCGACCACCAGCCAAAATATTTGGATTTGAAATCGGAGTTGAAGTCCCAGAACTATGGGACGATAGGACAAGTGGTGTAGAAGTTCCGGATACCACCGGTTCAACACCTTTCTCTGTCGACTCAGTTCCGTCCTTCCGTCGTTTCTTGTTCCTTTTCTCTTCTCGCTTTTTCTCCCTCAATTCTCTTCTAGCCTTCCTCTGCCTTTTCCTCTCATCCCGTGCTTGACGGCCTGTCATCTCACTCACGCCATCGCCATTCGATTTTGAACCACGTGGTTCTTCATTGTTGCGCTCAGATGAAGAAGCATCCGCGGATTCGGCTCCCCTTTTTCTCTTTCTACGGGAAGTAGATTCGATTGCACCCGATTTACCGTCCGGAGCCTCCTTCTCCTCGGTCGATGAGCGTTTTCGGTCGGTGGTTGTTGGAAGGCTACGCTCAACCCGATCCCCGACCAGAAAGCCCCCATGTACAAAGATCATGGTACCGAAGGCCTTCTCTTGGTAGAGACGTAGATTAACATCCCTCAACTGCTTCGCATCTTTTTCTAGTTGACCATCGTCCTTTCCGTTGAGCCTTCCCAAGACGTTCTGGAAAAGATTCAGTCCAAAGGTATCATTTTCCGCCGCAGACTTCTTATTGCAGCCCAACCCGCGAGTATCATCTTTCAGCACGGCACGGACGTGCGAGAAGTTGGCGGAGGTGTAGTGTGCTGCTTGTGCTGCATTCTCCGCACCAAGAGCCGCGCCCGGTTCCCAGCCATATGTGGTCAAGATCTTGTGTCCGAAGCGCTCGGTTGACCGGCTCCAATTTGTGTTGTTAGGATCACTCGAGAGTTTCACTCGGCTGAGGATATAGGAATCAGAAAAGGTATCCTTTACTTAGGGTCCGGAGGTACTTACTTGCGAGGCGCACTCAGACCCATCTTTCAGAAACGGTCCAGCACAACACCATTCTTCGACATTCAACTGCTTCAGACAAGGCGATGGAGGTGGAATTTTTGCATGTCGACCGGGAATGAGGGCTCAGGACTTGTGGCCAATCACAATTCTCCCTGCTTTTGAGTTTTGGAGTCATGTGACTTAAATCTGGGATTCAAAGTCGGGTGAAGCTCCTTTCACACCCCGCTGTGCTCCATTCACACCCGCCACCCGGCTCCATTCACACCCTACCTGGTCACATGACATACCAATCCCTTCGAATCTCTGACGCAGATTGGGATGGTCTAGTATATGATGCTTTATACGAGTCAAGCCGACCATTCTGCGTTCAAACTATGTAATTCAATGTATCTAATCGTACAGAGGATCACGGATGATCAAAAACGCTAACTTAGGTCCTCGTTTCACTCAAAAGAAGCTGGCGTAAGGCCGCTGATGCGCTCTTGGATGAGATCGCTGAATGACGTCTCCCCTGGTCGATAGTTCGCAAGTAACCTTCGTGCTTCTTCCGTAATTTCCTGCCCGTCCATCTGCGGCGGAGGGGCTGGCTGGGGCTGTGCTCCTCCTCCCGATATTTGGTGTTGTAATGGTGTTGCACGTACCTGTTCGAAGGCAGACGGGAGTCGACGCGAAGAAGGGTCGTTTGGCCGGTCTCTTAGTCCAGGAGGAAGTCGTGCCATAGCTGGATCGCGTACTGTCGCGAAGGATCCGGGTAGTGGGAGTGTAGGTAACTTGTAAAACCAATAGGAGTCGATCATAGGAAGCTGGATTTGCGTATTTTGTGATAGACAACGTCGAATAGTATGGAAG